GGAGAATTTGACGAAAGTCTCCACCTAAAATTATTATTTTATTTCCAAAAGATTTATTACTACTAGATAAATCTTTTAAAGTCCTATCAACAATTTCTGACGCTTTTTTCGGTATCAATTGTAATTATTGTTTTATATTTTATATCAGATAAAAAAAAATAATAATAATAATTTTTATGGTCATGGTTGTACCGTTCGATTTCGCGAACAAAAAAAAAAAGAAAAAGCAAATAACGATATTTTATAGATTAGTCCAGATTTGAGAATGTAATAAAGTTTAATGAGTCTTGTTATTTTTTATATTATTTTCTTTTTTTCGTCATAAATGTCATTATAGAAACATCGAAAAAAGTAGTAACTAGAAAGAACCATTGTGATTACTCATCCAAATAACGCCAAGAAAAACAAATATTTACCATGAGCGAGATGGGCAGTATGACGTTCCAGGTGAAGGACAGCAAAGGAGCGGCCCAGTACCGCAAGCACCTGCCGGTGGGCGGGAAGAGCTCGGTGACGACGGCATCGCCCGTATGTGGTCTGCCACGGACCGCGAACACTGCGCCCACCTGCACCAGGTACAACAGCATGATCCACCAGGCGCCGCCGACCGTGTAATCCAGATAGTACACCACGTAAATCCCCAGCTGCGTTTATTTCATTTATTCAATTTTTTTTTTTTTTTTTCATTTCCATCTCTCCGCTCAATTGGTTGAAAATGTATACATGCGTGTAGGTGGTTTTGTTTGGGTTTCTTGCTACTTTCTTGTGGTTTGACAACTAAAGCAGCTGGTACGAAATTATGATATGGTAATTTTATCTGTGTATACATGATATCGTGAGAAAAAATTGCTGTTCGATGATGCTAAATCGTGAATAAATTGGATGATGCAAACCATCAATGATTTTTGATGGTTCTACATGTTCGCGATTAGATTAATGTGGACGATGATTATTTGTTTTCAGGTTTAATCTATTATCACTTTTGATAACATTTTCTTTTCCAATGTGTATCAGCAACATTCTCATGGCAAGTATCCTAATCGCGCTCTAATTGTTGTTTTTCATCGTAAATTCAATTTGACGTAACATATTAACCAGAAACATTTTTCATTAGTAAATAAGATAATCCAACTTTCATGCAAAAGATGTTTTCGAAGACATAGAAGACTACTTCTTATCTACGTGGATTTTAGGGAAATCGCAGTATAATTCAGATGAAAAATGGAGCTTTTTGTAAAAGTCCAATCGTATGTGGCGTTCGTGAGTACATACTTCAGTCACTTACATGGCCGTACTTGTTCACGTTAGACACGTATTGCCCCGTAGTTGTAAAGAATCAACTGTTGCCAAACATTTTATGCATCTCGAGAAAGAAGTCCTTTCGCCAGTGAGTCGATTAAAACTTTTCAAGCCAAGGACCCCGCTCTACCGTTCACGCGACCCAAACCAGCAAACAAACACCGTGAACCACCCCTCATTGTCCCCGAATCAACTTGAAACGAGATCACCAGTGACATCGTCGAAAGGACCAGCCGTGATGGTTATTTTCTCCGCCCAACCACCGGCAACACACCTACGAGCACCTCAGACCAGTGAAACAACGGGGCTGGCAAACTCCCGCTCCTCGACCCGAATGTCCAGAAACACGACATCCTCCAACGTGTAACCAGGGTGTTTCTCCAGGAGCGCGTGCGGTATGAACATGTGGACATCCGAGCAGCCGTCCAGGTCCTCCTCGGACCTCCCTCGCCTGACCGACCTCACCGACTCCAGGAAATCGTTGGCCGAGTCCACCTGGTCCTTCAACGCCACCCTGGCCTCCATGACGCACGGCCAACTGAGCAGCGGGTCCCACTTTCCATCGACGATCCTCAGGCAGCCCATCGCGCACCGACTACTCCTCCCTCCCTGGTTCAGGTAAAGATCCATTCTCAGCGAGTACCCAAACTCCCTGTCCAGGAACACCGGACTCCGGAGCGCGAGGTCGCCGTTGGCCCTCGCCTCGTCCAGCTTCTCCCTGAACCGCTCGATACGCCAGACGAACCTCCCTCCCACAGAGGACCCCCCGCAGCCGCAGTCCCCACCACATCGAGCCAATACCTCTGGCCCGGAACGCTTGACACCACCCAGCTCCTTGGCCAGGGCGTCCACCCTGTCGAAGAGCGCGTCGCACCTGGCGAGCAGCTCCTCGGACGACCGGCAGCGCATCTCGAGCTCGAGCCTCATGTCATTGACGTTCCTCTCCTGGAGCTGCCACAGCCGGTACAAAGTCGCGCTCTCGGCGGAAAAGTCGGCGTGCACCTCCTCGAGGGCCGCGCAGTAGCGCTCCTTCTCCGCGGTGGCCCTGTACTGCTCGGCAACGGTTTCCTCGAGGCGGGTCAACCTCGCGCCGAGCGAGCCCAGGGTCGCCCGGTTGTCGTGGAGCTCCTCGAGGATGTCCCGGCGCAGCGCCGTGTTGGTCACCTGGAGGCTCGAGATGAGGGTGTCCCGCAGGCGCTTGACCTCCAGCTCGCCCTCGTGGACGTAGCCCCGGAGGAGGGTGAGCGCCGAGACGACCTTGTTCTTCCAGGCGGACTCGCGGAGGGTGTTGATGCGCTCCTCCACGGAGGCGTTGGTCTTGAGGTGGGTTGTTTTGCCGCGGAGGCAGTGGGCCCGGTGGCGCTGGAGATCGGTCCGGGCCACGTAGGCGCCGCAGTGCTCCGGGCACTCCTCGAGGACGGCGACGCACTGGGCGACGTGCTTCGGGAGGTCCCGCGGGCTCATGGCCTCGTTGCAGAAGTAGCAGGCCGAGGTTGCTGATGGTGCTCCCTCGTCGCTCGGCCTTGGGGCGGCTCGACGCTCCGGGTGGCTCATGCTTGGGTTTTTTTTTACGCGACGCGACCGCGCGACCTGCCGAGCCGAAGGCGATTGGTTGGCTTCCACCTGAGCGTCGGGCCGGGTTTCACGCGTCTGGCCAAGTGATAAAAGGCGGCGACGATATCGGGGGCCGCGAGATAAGGCGAGGCGCTGTTTGTTCTTTGACGCGCTCGCTCCTCTCGATGTCGCAATTTGATCGTACATTTGTGGGATGAGTACAGCCTTATCGGTGACCTTTTTTTTTTCTTTTTTTTTTTTGACTTTTCGTGGTTACCAATGGGGATCGTGTGCAAGGGAACACCTTACGTTGTTATTGTTGTTGTTGTTGGTTTTCACGGATTTTTCTTCCGCAACAAGTTTGAATTCCCAAGCTGGAGATAAGAGCATCTCGAGTTACTTTTTGTAGCCGCTCTTATACATCCTCTATCTATGTGGGTCAAGTTTAATTTGCCATCCATGTGTACCTACGGCTATGTACGGATGATTTCCCAATGTGTCGGTGCATACATTCGAGAGTGTTGTTGGTGCTTGGGTGTTTTTGAGCAGAGAATATGGCGTTTATTGGTGATGGGCGCTACTTACCTCCGTTGTCATTGGGAGGCCCAAAACGTAGGCGCAAGCACAGCTGAAGAAGGTAATGGTCGTTTCCCAGAGCTTCATCATCTTAGTGTTTATAGCCATTATTCCAGTTATAACGCAATGCCAGATTGCCAACTGAAAGGAAAAATCAACATCGTGGTTGGTTTAATTTGTTTGTCATGAAAAATAAATAAGTATATAGGCACGTTTTGAAAAACCTTTTTGGCTCACTCTTTTTACACCCAGACATTGTGGACAAATTTTTCTCTCAACATCTTTTATGCTTGTTTTGCTCAATGACTCATTAATAATTTTTGTGATTACACACGAAAAAATCATACAGCTAGAGTGATTCGTTATTTCCACCAATCATTTGGAGTCAATGTTTATCTTCGCTCTGCCTTACCATAAATTTAGAGTACCTTTATTCGCTTCTACATGCAATATTTTTAATACGTCCAATATAAATGTTTGGTACTTTAACCCGTGCGATGTAAAGTGAAATACTGGACATCAAGACGCGTCGTAAGAAAGATAAGTCAAAATGGACTAGGCAAAGAAGAATTTTCAAGAGATAACATGATATCTTTGTAAACAGGTTTCGTAACTCGCTTTCATCAAAAATTTTTGCCAGTCTAAATGTCTTTTTTTAACAAGAAAAATGACAGTCCAAAGCTTGGTTCAAGTTTAGTGGGGCAGGAAAAATATAACAGATCCACCTCCTAGGTGGGCTTAATAGCCGAAAATAAAATTGACTACAAGGTAGGATGGGGCAATCGGAGTGGCGGGGTAATCGGGGCTTTTCTTAATATCTTTTTGTAAATTCATCCAATTGCAACAAAAAAATATTTACTTTACGGTTCTACACGTGTGGGTACTATAATACGAAGTAGACTATCATGTCACGCTACGAGTGTGGGATCCTACTGTAAAACACGTTTAATTATAAAAATTGAAACCATGTGACAATAAAATTAATGTTACATTTTTGCAACACTATTTTTTTAAATTAGCAAAAATATCAAACAATTTTCCATAATATCACGTGAAAAAAAAAAAAAACAATCAATGCTTGTGCTACAATAGGAGCAATAGCAACCTCCAATATTTAATACTCTTGTTGTAAAATATAAAGACGTATTTAAACAACATGTATGCACTGTAATAGGGACCCAGTTTACCGTCGTGTTTCATGATATTTTCTCATTCATCGTATCAATAAATGGTCTAAAAAAATATTCCAACATCTTAATCGTAATGAAAAATTTTTGTACTATTTGAAAGAATTTAGAGCTGCTCTTGATACCTTAACTCAATGGAATTTTTATTTAAAATAACAGTAAATTAATTTTTGTAAAAAATTTTGTCTCAAATCGTGCCATCATAGGCCACTTCACCTTTCTGTTCCTTATTTACACATTTTTGATTTATCTTTGAAATCTGTAGAGTACTTATATGGATATTAAAACTTGAAACTCTACTTAACTGTAGATCATCAAACCAAAAAATACAGCTATCAGGTAAAAGTACTGATACCGGAACGCTCTTTTAATTTAGTTCTGTCCGAATGGTGGAACAGTCAATAACTAATAAACTTTTAAAAATTTTGTTATGAAAAAATTTATTTTAGACGTTAAAAGTGGTGTGTTGTTATATCAGCAAAATTTATAATATATTTTCAATCGCATTACAATAAAATAATGACATTAGGTACAACATTACGTAGTAAGTTTTTATCAATTTAAAATTATTTATTGTGAAGATGAAATTAACCAAATTAATATATGATAAGTAGGAAACAAAATTTATAAGTAACACTAACATTTTCACCGAAAATCGTTCCGGCAACGGTACCTTCACCTTATGAGCTACCCAAAAAATGATCACAATCCGAGCTTCCAGCAAAAAGAATATGATTTGGAATTTTCCACAAAATAGTGTAGCCCCGGTTGGATGGCGCTTATATTTCAAACACTTTTTTTCCTACCGAGGACATAATAAACGTCCAAATATCACGAAAAACGCCTCGGGGTAAGAAAAACGCATTTCGTGGCATTTTCATAAAAAAGTGCGCTGTTGGGCAAATTAATAAAAACTGCCCAATCTTAATAATAAATTTTCCAAATCAAATAGTTTAATTATCTTCAGCAGTTCATTCGCACATTTGAAGTATAAATTTACATATAAACATACATTTCTATGTATACTAGTAAATCAATCATTTTTACCCAGTTGTGTGTGAACCGTGCTGTTACAGAGTAAGGCAGTAAAAATAATATATAGCATCTGACGTCGTAATTTTTTTCGTAAGAATCGTACATTTTTTTGTAAGGTACACACTACACATCGCCTACAGATTTCCTAAATTTGGTGTGATCAAATGTACACTGTGCATCAATAAAATTATAAACCTGAATTCGATATTCTCAGGATTTTTAACCATTAAATTGTTATTTGATCCTGATTCCATGAAAGATAAGTAAACTTACATGACCTGGTTCCACGTGACTACATGACTTTATGTAAAAAAAAAAAATTAAGAAATTGTATATTATGTATTGAGTTAGCAAGGGCTTCGATTTACGAATCGAGAGGTTTACGGCAAAACGAGGTTCGTAAAGAAGCCTTTTCAAACGAGTTTCGTATACTATTTTTCCGCCTGAGAACCCAAAATCAAGCGGCGAAGATGCTATTACTTTGAGGTTAGAAAGCGAAAAAATCTTAATTCAGCGCCAAGTCATCAATCGACGACAAATCCTCTATTCAATTCGTCTTACGGATTGGATAAAGATATAACATAATAATGTAATAATGATGAAACAGAGTCAAAGATTTTGAAGGCTTTCTATTAATTATGCAAGTTTTGAGGATGAAAAACACCCAACGAATCATTGGTAACCTTGGGCGCGGCTAAGTATCGTGTACCCACCCAACCCAATGTAAATCAGCCTTTAGCCTCACCTGTTGCGCGATGCCAAAGAGGATGAGTATGAAGTAGAAGAGCACGGCGAAAAAGGGCGAGACCAGATCGGGCCCCAGAACGGCCAGGGTCGCGGGCACGAGTTCGGTGGCGAGCCTCAGGGCCTGGTATCCGGACTCGTGGCTGAGATCGCTGCCGGGCCGCGTCACCCGCTGTCCCACCAGGAAGGACGCATGCGCCATGAAGCGCTCGGGCGTGCTGCTGTAGGCCACTGGCGCCGGCTGGTTCACCGACCGCAGGAAATTACAGGCCGGCATTCGCTCTGAAAATATATAACAATGATCACTGTCGAGATAACCCCACCATCTTGTTATCCTTACTCCCCTATACCACCCAACCCACACGCAATATGTGGATGATCCATGTTTATATTTTATCTATTTTTTCACTTTATTCTCTTTTTGCTCCGTAGAAGTATATAGACTTCAAATGCATTACATTAACGAACGTCTCCACGCACTACATATCCAAGACGTTGCGGAAACCTCGCCCGTTATTATTCCAGTCTGCATAATATATTCAACTATGCTTTATTTCCTAGAAAGCATTGCAATAGATGCATGCGTTTACAACAAAACTGTATACGCACTTACGTCGTATATAAAAGCACATCTAGTACATAGTATAATTCTGTTAACCGTCTTTATCTTCTATTAGATTGGAATACGAATCACCATCTAGCAAAATTATTCGTGATTTGGTTCACGTACTCGACTGATTATTAAAACCGCCGTCTTTGAATTGGCGGTGAATTTTAGATAAATCCTTTTTACGGCTATTTTTTGTTGGTTGATGATTTGAATAATAATTTTAACATAATGGTGTGCTTTTGATGTTGCTGTTTATGATGATAGGCATAACATATATTAAGTGGTGAAGGTGGTTTTTTTACTGATGGAATCATTGTTGATCGAACTACCCTTCACTCTTCCTTAAAATGTCAGAGAATTAAGGCTTACAAACAAAGAGCCGAAAAAAAGGTTGTCAAAAGTTCGGGTGGTATAACATGAACTGAAAACAAAAAACTATACGATTCTGAATCGCGCGACAATGCGATAAAAAATTGTGATTGAGACGCAGACGTATACGTTGTCATTGCTTATGTGCGCATACGTGTATTGGCATTATCATACTCCGATTACAACATTCTTGTATGATGTATGAGCGATTACATGAAAATTTTATTGAGGAATTCACTATAATTTCACCAACTTTGATTCGAAAAAATTCCACATGCTGAATTCTATGTACCCTACATAATTGACTTTTTTCGCCTCGATCTTAATCCTTGACACTATTTTGACCTGTTACACCCGTAAAAGTTGTAGATCAAGAAATAAGGGGTCAGGAATAATCCATATAATTGGATATGATAAAAATATTAGCAATAATAATAATAATGTTATGAGTGATTATGACATACCTACTTAGTTGTATGAGTGAAATAACACGTTTTGTTCTCTTTGACATTTGCTGCGCAAGCGCAGTGCATGTTAGTTAACAGTCCTGCAGGTACTTTTTTGGTTATGTAAATCATCATGTATAAAATTATAATCACTGAATATTTAAACCCTGGTCAAATATAACCGTTTAAATTCCTTTTTTACTTATCTACAACTTTTACCAACAATGTTAGTCAGAATTATGCTTTGGCTTTAAGATTTTAGTGAAACGAGTAATACGGGTTTTTTCTACGTTATATACAGAGCTATTTATGACTTTCCAAAAGCACACCGGGTGAAATCACCAGAAGTCACTAGTAGACATTTACAAAGCGAAATAGAGTTTACGGAAAATTTATTGCTTTTTACTGTTCTTAAAGTTTTCTTAAAAATATATCAGAAAATTTTCATGCAGTAATATTTATACTGGTCATATTTCAGAATCTTTTCGACTTAAACAATTTATTAGGTTTCATGAACAAATTTTAATGATCCACGGTTTAAAATTCATACTATTTTTTACCGATGCATCGGTAGCATCGTAATGGCACAAAGTGCAATTTTGGGCTCGTGGGCACACTTTACGCCCAGTAAGTAACTTTGGGCGCAAAGCGACAGTTGCACTTTGTGCCCATGGTAATTCTACCAGGTACGAACTCTATTTTTCCTACTTGAGGGCGCAGTAAACGCCCAAAGGTTTAATGAAAGTGGGAACAAAAATTTAGGCTTTTTATTTTACCAAAGTTGTACCCTACCATTCTTTCAATAGACTAAAAAATATTTAAATTGTTTGTTAAAATATACAAACTTACTTACCAAACGAACTCGTGACATAATAGTAGCCATGATTCCTGAGAATCTGCACGCAGGTGTTCGCGAGAAAAGCCGCCAGAAGCAAAACCATTAAAGTCAACACGATCACGAGACTCGTATCCCTCTGCAGCATGTGCTTGTGCTTGTTGTGCGCAGCTACCTGCAAAACGATTTACGATTTCTCGTCATCACAACGCTCATCATCGATCCTCTCCCTACAGTATACTCATAATATGAAAAAAAAAACTTTAAGGTAGATCCTCACTATAAATCCCACAAGAAGAGTAAGCATACTGCAACACAGCTTTTCATTGGCTGTGGAGGTTCTTGACTAAAAATGGATAGGTACCTATAGTCCCTTCAAATAAGTTTAGTCACATCTACACCGTTGACCTATATCGTACAATACAGTGACCCGAGCAGACGTATGTATACAAATCTGACAACATAGCCCTTACATGTAAATAATAATAGTCAGCGTCTCATTTATTTTTATTATAATTACGATTCCTATTCATTTTACGTACAACTTTCTGACCAATTCAAACTACGCGGGCTACCGCTCCGGTATAGCAGACGCCACACACTTTTCATCTGTTCCGTGACTTGCACAGTTATCTACTATTTTCACAAAATATCCTATAAAACCCATGGTAATGTCCAAGTACCTGAATGTCGTTGGAAAAATTCTGATTTCTTCTATCTGCTACATAGTTTTCTATTAAGAACTACAGTATCTTTGCTGAGATATCATACAACCTGCGCCACCAATTTGACGACCCTCCATAAGAGGCTATGTTACAGAGTCTATTTTCCAGTTAGTTTTTTTCAACAATTTTGGTGGTGACAAGGTCTAAAATTTTGGGAAAAGACTCCTTGCACCTTTAAGAATCATCCTTTAAAATATCATTTGATACTCCAGTGTTTTGATTTGGTGAGGAGACACCTTAAATCAGATTTCTCAACAACCACTCCCAAAACCGCGCCAACTGAACGATAATGCGCGTCTCACCTGCATGGCAGCCGCGCCGAGTAGACCCCAGGTGAGAAAAACCTCGGACGCGGCAGCAGCCCAGGAGCGCCCGTTGACAAAAAACTCGTTCCAAGCCGTGGCCGGGAACAACTGGTTGATGGAGCCCGTGGGCGTGACACCCAGTAAGTTGACGCACAGCAACAGCATACTGAACACCGGCAGGGCCGTAAACACGTACACGACCTTGCCGTAAGATCTTAGACCTTGTGGAGGGAAGGGAATTTAATTATTTTTTAGCGCAATGTTGTCAAACGAGTGTACCTGTGTAACACACATACCTTTGCTGAGCGAGACAAAGACGACCATCCAGACGACGGCAAGGTTGAAGGCCACTTGGAACTTGAGGGTGACGACGCCGGGGTCGGGGTCGTTGAGGTGGAGCCGTTGCAGGACGACGCCATTGAAGTAGTCGGGCACCGTCTCCGGGAGCTTGCCGTAGCCACCGACGGTGCCACCGGGAGTACCGCCGCCGCTGCCACTGTGGTTGTGGGCCGCGTTGCCAGTGGCCCCGGAGCCGTTGCTCGATGCCGACGCCCTCGCGTCCTCGCGGTACAGCGGGAACGGCTCCGACCACCGGTACTTGTCCAGCTTCGTTATGAACGAGTCCCTGGAAATTTACACCACGATGCACCTTTCGTTTCAACTTTTGTTGCTTCGTTGAATACCGAGGAGTTTCATTCATGCGTCACTATAAACTGTTTAGTCGTCGATGGTTGATTTAAGTATTGCCCTGCTCACGACAATCGGGTAAGATCTCATGCCAAAAACTCACCCGAGATTTCATAAAAAGTATCCTTACTCAAAAAAAAATTAAAAATCCGTTTACGGTATTCAAAGCGGTTCCGTTGGGGATACCATTTGGATGGTACATCGAAAAACACATCTTTACAAATATTTTATGTCAATTTTAAAAAATTAAATACATTTTTTTAATTCTCAGGTGAGATTTCATCTGAAGTTTCGTATGAAAAGGCACCTGATATCTCACCGAAGAATTTAAAAAATTTGTTTATTTTTAAAAATTGACATAAAATATTTGTAAAGATGTGTTTTTCGATGTACCATCCAAATTTTATTATCGACGGGGGCCGGCTATTAATACTGTAAAATTGATTTTTAATTTTTTTTTTTTTTTTTTTTAGTAAGGACACTTCCTAAGAAATCTCAGCTGAGATTGGCAAGTGAGTTTTTGGCATGAGACCTCACATGATGGTCGTAGACAAGGTAATAATGAACACATATGAAGAATTGTGAGTGTGAAGAGCAGACATGGAATAAAACTTTTAAAAAAGTAATGTTTCATGTAGAATGGCAGAATATTATAATATTCCATGAGAGCAAACGTTGTCCATGTGTAGTGGTATTTTGGACGAGGTATATAGTGTGATTTCAAGTATTTTTTCAGGCTGAATTCAATTGCTACGTTTTTATATTCTTATGTTTGTATTTTGTAATATGATTATCAAAAATGATAAAGTTTATTTTATTAAGGACTATGAAAACTAACTCAGTGGAAGTCTTAAAAATTTTAAGTTTTTCATTCGATTTACATTTTCCATTTTCTATTTTATCATTTATTAAAAATTTAGTGTTAATTTACCACAGAATTCTCTAGAGGTTCGAACAATGCTACTAACATGAATCTTTTTTTTTATTTTCTTCGATAAATAACTCGTAAATAAGTAATAATTTAGTCACATTAACTGACAAGGCAAGTCAAGGTTTTTTTTTACTCGCAAAAAAATTCTCCTAAATTGACATGATGTTAGGCGTAAAGTCAGCACAGCCAATATTTATTATGTGTAGTGTAAAAAATGAGATCTGATTCAATCATTCCAACTGAAAATTAAGATTTAGCAACCCCAAAGTACTTATTAGTTTACCAAAACAAAAAACTTTTTCAGTGAGGCTGTTATGACTTAAAAGTATGTTTCTTGAGAGAAATTTTAGATGCATAGATTAAAATATGCAAACAAGCCAGTTTTAACATGAAATCATTCTTATAGCACGAAATGATTTGATCCCGGATAAGATGACCAATTTTTACGTTTTTTTTTTCTTCCAATATTCGCTTCAGAACTACATTTTTGCCATTTATAAGAAATAAGCATTAGTTAGAATTATAAATAATTCACAATCATTAAGTAATTAACTGTCCATATTTTTGGTCATCAACTAGATATATAGAAATCAAACAATGAGCCATTATTTATCAGATTTCTAGTTTTATGTGGAAAAAAAACCTGCCAACAAGTTGATGTGTTTTTAATATTTTACAGGAACTCGTGTCAAATGGACTTGAATGTTCTCAAACACGTTAATTTTGTATTAAATTGTCAGGAAAGTTCGAAACGTTTACCTGAAGTAGACGAGCATCCAAGAGATCCCGACTATGCTGTAAATCCCAATGAAAGCTTGGGCGACGAGCAGAGCGATGCCCACGCCCTGGAAGAGGGGCGATATCTTCCACATGTCGACGACGCCCGCGGACAGCCTCTGGCCAAGGCAGACCTGCAGCGTCAGCAGGGGTATGCCTATTACCAGCGACAGGATCAGGAACTGCGTGATGAAGTTGGCTGCGAACGTTTGCAATCCCCTTAGCTCGTGTTTTTCATTTTCAAGGGTGACTACCAGAGGATGGAAAAAAATAGAATACCCACCTCCAAACTGGATGCTGAGTATGGCGAATCGGCTGATGTTGAAGAGCCCGAGCGTGCAGCCGAGGCACGCAAACGCCGAGCTGAGGGCGTGCGGCCACTTGCCCAGCGAATTCTCGTCCTCGTCGTCGTCCTCGGCCCTCTCCTCATCCCTCTCGACATCTCTTTGGCCGCACAGTCTGAAATCAAACAATGTCGAGTTTGCGTTACTTACAACGATGCCTCTTTTTGTCGTACTCAAGTTTTCATACTTTTTACAGCTCTTTTCGTTTACTGTATATACTTTCGTCTCAAAATATAATACACATTTTTCTTCACGATCTATTACTACACAGTACGTATAAATATTTCGTCAACAACCACGCCAATTGCCTACATTCTCTCGTTGATTACGTAACTTGGATTCTACTGCTTAAAAATTCACTAATTGGAATAGGCCAAGGTTAATCAGTAAATTAAATTTTCCAGGTCTACGAACATATTTTTTCACCAATTTAGTTTAAGAAAATGTGTATTCCTGTTAGTTTAACTCAGTAAAGTTGTTGAAATTCATCTAACAATTGAGTAAACGATTGGAATTTCTCAAATTACTGAAGAATTAATGTATCGCTTCTGATGAATTTTATCAAAAGTAATTTTTACAACACATAAGTAAATTCTAGTTAATTCAATTTGTTCTAAGGATGTCAAATAAAATTTTTAATATATGAAGTCTGTTAAGGACCTCAATTTATTGTGAGTGACTTTGCAGTGCTAAAGGAAAGGTAGCGTTTCCACACAATTTGTAAATATTGTTAAATACATGAAAATACTACCAAATCACAATACTCTATGCCTCTTTTTTATTTGTATTGGTAATTTCGTTGTTTTATCTGATTTTTTTGCCAGCTAAAATTTCCTTACTGATTTTAGTAACGTTTTTTAATTTTTCCGAAACTTTTTCAATACCTACTGTCCATTTACGATATGTTTAGCATTTCCTTCTCTCAAATTTTACGAGTTGCTTTATTAAATTTTTGCTCATTTTTATTAAGTCTTTCTTTTTCTCTGCTTCTTTTCTTCAACTTTGTTTTAGCGTGGACAGCTTGGCGTGTCCATATTTAGCCACCCACCGTTTTTTTACTGGCATAAGAATTTTTTTGAAAAAAAAAGACGCACACAGGATTTTTAAAATGTACCAGGATGAGGTATTTTTTTTTTTTTTTTTTAATCAATAAAACACTTGGTGTTTGTGCAAAGCATTAAAATCGTGGGTAAGTACTTAATAACCCCGTTTAACTATAAGCAACGTGCAATATATAATTTTACCCCTGCTGATTACGCCTCGATCCTCCTTACTCATTTTAACCAGCTAACATCATCATTTTGCTCATCACCCGCAAGCGTGCACCTACAATTATCCGCGTGATACAACCTCAGTACCTATATCTTCTAAACGGCAACTCAAAATGTAAAAAACGTGTTTGTTTCTCTTTGTGTTTTTTTTTCATGCTCTGACGCTGCACATAAAAAGCCCAACGACAGAAGAGATTGCCCGACGGATAATCGCGTTTATTAATAACTATGATACGGAAGCTCGAGTACTTCGTGCCGGTGTAATCGCGCGCAACACATGTAAGCGTGTGCTTATCGTAGGAGCACAGCTTCGGCATCGCTAGATTGCCGCAAAAAGACCTCAACGCGAGTACAGGACACTCTCCGCGATGATGCGTGAGCGCTCCAACGCGCCGCTCGAGTGGAGCTTGTCGATGCTTAATTGCTCGCGAAGAATAATAGCGGGGCGAGGAAGTGCATGGGCTCGGGGTATCTTGTTGGCGCGGCTGAACATATTTAAAAACAACTAAGTAGCGGACGATTAGAATAACGTTGGAATGGGCTGTTTGCGACGTGGCTGTACCGAGTGCGGGGAAAAAGGGGATTTGCGATGAAGTAAGCCTATAGTCTCGGTGACGGAGTTTGGGGCCCAAGAAACTGACTTTGTTTCTCAAGAAAAATAAAAACGTAGCGTCTCTTACTTACATGATTACAATGTTAGTCCGAGAAGTTGCACTAGCTCTTATTTCTAGAGGCAAAAAAGATAAGTTGTCGGGTGATAAGTGATGAACCGTGAATGATGCACAGACCGCGGAAAGGTCGTGACGATTAATTGAATTAAAATAAAACTCGGGTGGGTTTGATAAAAAAATTGATGAATGTTTTTGCGATTAAGTATAATTATATTTAAAATTAGCTAATCTTTGAAAAAAAAACATGTAAAAACATTCGAGATTATTTTAATAAATGTTGACAGTTTTTAGAATGGCATCATTGCAAATATTTGTATTCTGCAACATTAAGAAATCGCAATACTATACATTTTTCATTAAACCGTGTTAAATCAAAGTATTTGTAACATTGTTGATAAATATATATTTTTCAAGTNGATATATTATAACATTTAAACAAAATCTTAAAAAATAACAATGAAAATTAAAAAATGCCAAAATGATTAATTTGTGAGCTATCGTTTATTATACGCTTTTTGTCGTTGCCATTTAGTCACTAAATTTACAGTAAATTGGTTAAAAAATAATTTAAAAACGAAAAAAGAGTTATTAAACAGAAAAGTACTTATTTAAATAACATTCGTTTGCAAAAATTCTTTTTGCATTCGATTCGTAATCAAAAAATGAAAACTCTTGTTTTTAGGCACGACTGATACTCAGCAGTGCTCTATATAGTTTTACCAGAGCAAAAAGCGTAAGTATCCTTGAAACTTATTGTTTTTGCGTTTAAAAAAAATTTGATAAAAAAAATTGAGATCGCGGACCTCGGCGTCAGGGGTGTATGTATGTATATATGTGCGTAATCAAGTTTTTTTGACTAACTCATTCGGTTTTGTTGGATTGGGCTGAAATTTGACCGAAAGCTTCGTCTTTTATGTCTATAACGTGATGTTTTGACATCGACAAGGTTTCCTGCTTTAGAAAAAAATGGCAGTCGTTTTAAGATGGTACTTTCAGTGAAAAAAAAAAAAAAAAAAAAAAAATAGTTTTCGGCTATAACTTTGTTACCTGATATCTTCGAGGTTTGCTATGAAAGAAAAAATTGTAGATATGATTGAATTACAACTTTTTTGTACCGAACATTTTCGTCCAAGATGTAACGTTCTGTAAGACAAAAACTGCTAAAAAAATGAAAAAAGTATAGTTTTTCGCTGTATAACTTATTTGTTTTACATTTTGGATTTAAAAAATTAAATTTAAAAGTTGTAAATCTTATTAAAATACAACTTTTTGTATAAAAAATTTTGACCTAGGATGTCACCCACACGTTTTATGAGCTAAAAAGTGCGCAAAAATCGCAAAAATTTAGTTTTTCCCCATCCAACTTTTTGTTTTGCATTTAAGAAACGACATTAAATGTTAGAGTTGTAGATCTCGTTAAAATACAAGTTTTTTGTATTTAACGTGAGTTATGATGTCAAATTGGCGCTCTAAAACGAAAAAAATGTCGAAAAATCTTAAAATTACCTTTGTCCACATCTAACTCACTCATTTTACATTGTAGATAAAAAAGTTAATGTAAAACTCATAGATGTTTAAAAAATGTAACTTTTCTGTATCCAACACTTTGTCTGTTAGATAAAATGAACACTATAAATCGCAAAAAATGATAAAGTAATAGCTTATCCAGAAAACATACGATTGACGCACGAAGCATAGCTGACGGCGATAATCATTGTGTTTTAAGTTGTAATCATTGTAACAGTAATATATATAATGTATACTCTATCATATCAGTCGTGCCTTATAAGCAACAACTTCGTTTTTGTATGAATTTAGCCACATTTATTTTTGAAACAAATATTGAACTTTTATCCTTCGAATTTTTTACCTAAACTATTTTATTACTATGAAAAATTCAGTTTAAATACGCTCTTAAACAATCAGTTCTAATAAAGTAATCGATAAATTATCCTACCTATATATTTAATTCGAATGAGGTAATCAAAGAATGAAATGAGTCTAAATCTCAAATGAACGTCATTATCTGTGCTCGCGTACATGTCACCAGAATATGCTGAGCTCGCCATAAGGTATAAGATAGCAAAATCGGACGCACCAAGACCAGTGTACCGTTAATGAAATTTGTCAATTAAAAAGGTACAAACAGGCCTCAAACCGCCCCGCTGAACACGAAACTAGTACACGTTACAATCATACGGAACATGTTTCTCTTGACTTTCAGCCGCGACTTCTCTCCCAAGCCTCGCTCGCTGCATCCGCGGACACGTCGCGCGCTAATCTCTCGTTCCCGTTTCTTCTCCCGTCATGTACCTGTTCGAAATGCCCCACGCCATGCATACCGGAGCCACTGGCTCGTTTGTATGCGCTGGAAATAATCGACTGTTACGCTCGACAATTGTGCGTACACTGTTTTTTTTTTCCTCCACAGTCCAGGTAGGTCCGCGTTTTCCAAGCCAACGATGCACGCCGGTAACGAACGCGCTCTTTAGTGGACGCGCAAGTACTTACGTATGCGCACCTACGCGTGCATTTTGATGCGTTTTTTTTTCTTCTTTTCTTTCGTTCCGTGCTTTCGGATGATTCGAAAATTTACGAGTGCAGATAGCGACGAGGTGCTTTTTATCTGATCGCCGTAGCGTTGTTCGCCGAAGCCACTTTTTGCGATGCAGTGATCGATGAGTCGGAAGAATTGTAGATGGTTTTTTTTTCTACTATCCGACAAGGAAGAGTTGGATACGATATGAAAGAGGTGTTAAATTCGAAACTCCACTTACAACAAAGTATTGTTTGCTCACGTACATTGAATGAACTTGAAAACGCTGTACAACTACGATGAAGTACATCAAACTTGATTACCGATACAATGTTTTACAATTTGGTCAGCCCGAAATGGCAATTATTTGTTCAACGTATGCACATCTCAGTATGTACAAGTACAAACAGAACGTGTGACACCCAAGAGCTCGTTGTTTTCATTATGATTGCAGTGCATTCGTCTTCCAGATCTTTTTTAGCTATTCGTTTGGATAGAAGTTTATCTTGATCACCATCGAAACAGCATTTTGACTTGGCATGAAAAAAACATCCAGAAATTTATTTTCCAAGTCATGTATTTTCATGCGGCGAAGTGTTTTTTCTTCCACACATTGTGGCTTTCACGAGAGTCGAGT